TCCGAACCGACTTGACGGCACTTAACAACTTAACAACATTAACTGAAAGGGAGTCCTGGTGTGGCATTTCAGGATAATGCACTGGATCACACAATCAGTTTGAAATGCAAGGTTGGCGGTTCAAAACTATCAGCTGCTCCTTGGAAACCCTATGCAAGGTTGCTATGAGTTGGGACCAACTTGACGGCACTTAACAACAGCAACACAAATTAACCAAAAGGTTAATGACTTGAATCCACTCAGGGACCCTATAGAAGAAAGGAATGGTGATTTATGTCCATAAGTTCACAGCCAATGAAAACCCTACGGAACACAGTTCTACTCTGACACTCATGGAGTTGCCATGAGTCATAATTGACTGGGTGTCGAGTACTTATGTTCAATGTTGTTGTTATGTGCCGTGGAGTCGGTTCTGACTCATAGCGAACCTGTACAGGGTTTCCAAAGGCTGTAAATCTTTATGGGAACAGAAAGCCTCATCTTTCTCCCATGGAACAGCTGGTCGTTTCTAACTGCTGACCTTGTGGTTCACAGCCCGATTCGTAACCACTACGCTACTAGAGCTCCTTATAAATAGCTGAAAAATACCACTGAAGATATTAAAATGTAAAGCCTTTTTCTTCCTCCCATGTTTTCTTTCTCAACCTGCCCTGGCATTTGTATTCCTGGGGCCTGGGGAGACTTGAAAACCAAGTGTAGCCCCTACTAGCCATCACACCTTCCCATCCAGTAAGTCAGATCCTGCTCCCAGGGTCCCCTTCCCTCTGGGAACCAGACCACATGCTGTGCCCTGGCCAGAAATGGGTAAGAGGAGCCAGGCATTCCCTTCACACAAGCCTACTGCCTCAAACCCTAGAGACAGGGTACCTCTGCTCCCGGAGGAGGGAGGAATCTGTATTGGGGATGGACAGGCCTGCTGAATCGTCCACCAAATGCCCTTTTCAGAAACATGTCAGACCAAAATCTGACCCTCCCTGTGCTCATGTCCACAGGCTGGCAACCCAAGGTCCAGGAATGGGCCTGAGAGCTCATACTGGGAGTTAGTGAGGTAGTGAGACGCCACAGAAGGCAGTACACCAGTGAGCTGATGTTCACTGAGCTGATATACCCTGGCTCATGCTCCATTGTCCCACTGAACTTCACTTAAAACATAAACTGAAAGATGAAATTATTATAGAATTCTGTACTATGGCCACAAAGCACTAAACGCCAAGTTCAAGGCCTTTATGAACATGGGACCATGTGCAGGTAAAGTGCTCACCTGCCCCGGAAGCTGGACTTTGCCTCCCCCTTAGGGTTTTAACTTAAACATCACGCCCTTTAGGGAGCCTCCCTGGCCCCAAGCCTAGCTTAGGCCTTCTTCCTACTTCATTTTAATTACTTGTTTAATTGATTTAGTTGTAATTACTTGCTGAATTGATTTAATTAGTTAAGTTCTGTAAAGACAGGAAACATGTCTATTTTGTTCACAATTATATCCCTAGTGTGGTGCTATAGGATAAGCACTCAACTGCAAGGTTTGTTTGAAGCGCAAGGTTGGCAGTTCAAACACACAAGCCACTCTTTGGAAATCCTATACAGAGTCCCTGTGAGGGGGAGCCAACTCGTTGGCACTTAACAACAGCAACAATGTGGCAAGTGTATAGTGTGCTCTTAGGTGCCGTGGAATCGTTTCCAACTCATAGCGATTCTGTATTGAGTTTTCATGGTCTTGAACTGCTAACTTTACAGCTAACAGTCCAGGGATTATCTTTCAGCACCACATCAGGACCCCTGCAGGCATATGTTAAGTGCTGTCAAGTTGATTCTGACTGATAATAACCCTGCATAGGGTTTCCTTGAATCATCTGGTGGATTTGAACCACTGATAACCTTGTGGTTAGCAGTAAAGTACTTAACTTACAGTACCACATGTAAAAGGCACAGTGCTATAGAAGAAGCACTGGACTACAAGCTTGGTTTGAAGTGCAAGGTCAGTGGTTTGAATCTACCAGCTGCTCCTCGGAAATCCTATACAGGGTTGCTTTGAGTTGGAACCAACTTGATAGCACTTGACTACAGCAACAAATAAATGAGAAAATGAATGAAGAGTTGATTCTTAACTTCCCTTCTTAAAACAAACAAACTATGAGTTATTTTGACTGACTGGAAAGTCCCAACCTTCTCAGATACAAACAAACAGCGTACATGGTATGAAAGAGATAACTATCTAATCCCTCTTCCTTCTGTTCTAACTTGTCTCATTTCCCTCTTGCTGAATTTGAGAAGGCCCTATTTTCAGCTAGTGATGTGGTCTGGAGTGTTAGCTACTTTCTATGGGCTTCACAATACAGGGATGGATGAAGGTTCCTCACTGACCTTTCACCTCCCACCAGCTTTGACATTTTGTGTGGCATTTGGTGCTTTGGAAGGACATTTGGAGTTCTCTTCCTCTTGTTGTTGTTGTTAGGTGCCATCGAGTTGGTATCAAGTCATTGTGACCCAGTGCACAACAGAATGAAACACTGCTCAATCCTGAGCCAACCTCACAATTGTTACTATGTTTGAACCCATTGATGTTGTCACTGTGCCAATCCATCTTGCTGGGTGTCTTCCTCTTTTTCTCCGACCCTCCACTTTATCAAGCATGATATCCTTCTCAGTGACTGGTCCCTCCTGACAACAAGTCCAAAGTAGGAAAGACGAAGTCTGACCATCCTGGCTTCAAAGGAGCACTCTGGCTGCACTTCTTCCAACATAGATCTGTTGGTTCTTTTGGCAGCCCATGGCACTTTCAATATTCTCCTCCAACACCATAATTCAAATGTATCAATTCTTCTACTGTCTTCCTTATTCACTATCTAGCTTTCACATGCAGTTACTGAAAATATGACAAAGAGGTCCTCAAGCTGACATCTTTGCTCATCAACACTTTAAAGAGGTCTTAGTGCAGCAGATTTGCCCAATGCAATACATTGTTTGATTTCCTGACTGCTGTTTCCATGAGTGTTGATGGTTGATCTAAGCAAAATGAAATCATTGACAACTTCAATCTTTTCTCCATTTATATGGATGTTATTTATTGGTCCAGTGGTGAGGATTTGTGTTTTCTTTACATTGAGGTGCAGCCCATTCTAGAAGAACTCATAACCCTGTCTCTGTGAGCTCTAGACTTTACTTTGCAATAATAACCCACAGACTGAGAGGAACCACAAGACCACTGGAAATTTCTAGAGGTGCCACTTTGTTTCAAGAGGAAAGAAGACATAACTAAGGCGAAACTCAATATTCTCTAGGAAGACATGGATTTCCTTTAAAAAATTGTCAATTTCTTAAGGAATTAAAGATGAAATCCTGAAGAGAGGGATTGACACAAATCCCTCTCTTTCATCAATGAATCAATCAATTGTTGTTAAGTGCCAATGAGTCAGTTCTGACTCATAATAACTCAGTATAGTATTTCTGAGGAGAAACCTTTCAGTTAGCAATCCAGTGCTTATCATACAGCACCACATCAGTTTGATGCTTTCGACTTGGTTCTGACTCATAGTGACCTTGTATAGGGTTTTCCAAGGAGGAGCTTAGCTGGTGGTTTTGAACAGCCGACCTTGTGGTTAGCAGTCCAATGCTTATTCTACAGAGCCACACCAGGACTCCACACTAGGTTGCTGGGGGTTAATTAATCAAGCTCTCTTTAATGAATTAGATTAGGGACATAGAGAACTAAGCCAACTTTAGAAGGCTCGGAGCTTAGCAAAACACCTCCCCTGCCACCACAGGTTGACTAAACCCTCATAATGTCTACATTTCATCTCAGTCTCTTTCCACACTCATAGCAAGCACACATTTAGAATCCCAGCTTCACACCAACTCAAGATAGATTCCCATGGAAACCAGCATAAAGGCACGGCAGAGCCACAGATCTTCCTTAGAGGCCGTGGATACATACTTTCAGGCCTCCTCCCTCTTCACTGCTGAAACAGTGCAGGAAAAACCCCATTGGTGGATCCACTGTCCTGGCCCCTAGAGTCCAGCGCAGTAAAGGCCTGAGACCACTGTTTTTAAGAGGGTTTTCTCCAGAGATCCTCCTGCCATGTCCTCTCCACCTGGGCAGCACCTCTGCTCACTATGCCTCAGTTTCTTAGTCTTTAAAATAAGGTTAATTGTGTTGCCCACTACACAGCTTAAACAATAGAACAATGTGAATATTTCACACAGAGCTTGGCCTCTAATAAGCACTAAATAAGTGTCAATCAATTTTATTATTAAATAGCTCTTGGGTAAAGAGCTTAATCTCTCCAGGCCTCAGTTTTCTCTTGTATAAAACAGGGTAAGATGATTCTTGAGAACCCTCTCCAACTCCACTACTTTATGGTTCTGTAGCTCTTACTGGTGAAAGGATGAGATGTTACTGGTGAAAGAGAATGCAAACCTTGTGGCAGCCGAACAGCCTTGCTTTCTCAGCTCTTGAAAGTTCTCCACCCTTCAGAGGGCACAGTTTTGCCACTTTAATATTGCTCATTTTTGTGGAGAATATCTGAGTCTTCCTTCTCTGTCTGGTTCCTACCTGATCCAGGTTTCAGCTTTCACAGGTTTTATAATAGAGAACTCTAAAACATGCCTTCTCTTCTGAGTCTAGATCTAACTCCTCCCTGAAGGCAAGTTCAACAGAAGCAATTTTCTTCTGGATTATACCAGTGAAGGGAAATGAGTAGTCAGCCACCATCAACCCCTGGCTGACCTTCCTAAGCCTTAGTTTCCACATCTGTAATATGGGACTACTTTATAGGGCTGCCGTGAGGATTAAATGAGATTATTTTGTGAGGTGTATAGCCCAGAGCCTGTCTGATGCCACTGTAGAGTCTGGAGAAGTTTATCTGAACTTCTCTGAGAAGACCTTGAACCAGCCCTGCAGGTCATCCAGAGGGCAGGGTATGCAAACTCGGAGTCCACCAAGGGGGCCACCCATCCTCAGCTGGACTGCAGGCCAGCAGGAAAGGGGAAGGAAGGATGTGGCTTACCAGGCCCAGGTTCAGAGAGTTGTTGTCATCTTCAGGCATGGGCAAGTAGACAGCCAGGGCCACACAGTTGGCAAATATGGTGAGCAAGATGATCATCTCAAACGGTCTGGTGCCAGAGTTAAGGAGAGGCAGTGACTGAGGGGTGGGGCTTGAAAGTCTCGGGGGAAGAGAACACAGGTCAGCCTGGAATGTGATTATAATGCCAGGGCAGGCTTTGGGACTCTGTCCTCTGCTGTAGTGTACAGAAAGAGCCAGCTTCCCACCTGTGGGCCTGTCCGTCTCTCAGGAGCGGGTAACTTCCACTCCCTCTCTCAAGAGCCGGTAGTCTCTATGGGACTGCAAAGACCTGGTAACAGGCTGAGGGCTACTCAGTTTTAAGGGCTGGGGAAGGGCTTCTTAGCATTTATTCCATCTTGTTCAGCTCACCGCTCTGCCCAAGGAACCAAGACTTTCTGAGATTCTGACCAGGGTCTTTCAGAGGCTTACCCAGGAAAATGGCAAGGGAAGTTGGGGGACTATACAATTTAGGGGTGTGGTGCTGTAGGTTAATAAACTGGACTTCAAAGTCAGTTTGAGCAGCAAGGTTGGCAGTTCAAGCTCACCAGCCACTCCTAGGAAACCCTAAACAGGATCGCTGTGGGTTGGAAACCAACTTGATAGCACTTAACAACGACAGTAATCCACAGAGCAGGATAGGGAAAGAAGATGGAGAGATGAAATGTGAACTCCCAGGGTCTGAGGAAGGAGTCAATAATTGATTAAATTACTATACCCACAGAGCTGTGAATTTATACTAGTTACATACCTGGTATCCACCTGCTCACCCATCTACACATCTGCCCCCTTCCAGACACACCCACCCCTCCACAGCCATTTCCCAGAGGGCACTCACCACCCACACCTGTTGCTTTTTTGATTTTCTGGTGAAGCAGCATGGGCCAACCAGAGAGTGGCAAGAAAGAAAGGGAAACAGAGCGTGGGTTGCTTGTGTGTGGATGGGGTGGAAGTGGGAGCATGCTATGCAAATGAGTTTAGTTGAAAACTCCCATTCCCTTCCCAGAGAAAAGAGGACTGCAGAGCACAGGCCTGAAAGAGGAGAAGACACAGAGGGGTAGAGAATGGGGGAGAGGGGGAAATCACCAAGTCAATCTGCTCAGCGGAGTCTGGGTAGCACAATGCTTAACAGAAAGGCTAACGGTTAGACCCCACCTAACCGCTCCTTGGGAGAAAAGGCCTGGAGCCTGAACCAGGAGCCAACCCAACAGCAGCTAACAACAGCAACAAAACTTGCTCTGACAGCAAGTGGGCAAGGAGGAAGAGTCAGCAGGAGGATTTGATGTGGGGCAGCTGAGGACAGCTGTGAGGAGCAGGACTCACGCTGACCCCACACCAGCTCAACTTGGTCCCATGCTTTTCTTGTCCTCCAGTTATCCTCTACTCTCCTTTCTTCCAATGAACAGCTGCTGGGAGCCTAGTCTTCTCGCACCCTTGAGAAATATTTCAAATATCCCTGACCCTCTCTGTCAGACCCCATTTGGCACAGACCTCCCTCCTCTGTGAAGCGCCTTCTTCCCTTCCCCCAAATAACCCAGATATATTCAACATTCTTCCTTCCAGAACTCATACAAACTTAGAAAGGGATTTGAAGTCCCCGTTCCCAGGGTGCTTAAGTGTGAGTTAAAATAACCAGAGTTACTTGGTCTGTATCTTGGAGTCATTCACAGCAACCCTTCTTCAAGCCCATTTCTCCTCCACTTCCATCCTCTGCTGGGTCCATGTTTGGATCTTCCCCCAGTAGAATCATTTGCTCAACTCTTACTTCTTTTCACTTCCCCACACCCTCCCATCAAGGGGGAGCATTTTCCTACAGTGATCACCCACCTCTTCTCTCCCCACCCCCCACCCCCCAGGTTCTATTTCAAAGTGAGACTGTTGCTTCAAACACCTTAGAGTGGGTCCTAGTAGAGCATAGATTTGGACATACTTGGAAACAACCCCATGAAACATCCCAGACTCCTTCCCTAGATGGTCAAGAGGCATCTCAGCTTGTCACTCAGGCCTTCAGAACCCCACTTATGCCCTAGAAACCCCATCAATCCCTCGTCCTTTTCTCCGGCTCAGTTGAGGGCCTCTTTCTCTCTTTATGAGATTCTGGCTGTTTCCCCATCTCCAAATACCCAGCCTCCTTGCCACCTGTCCCCTCCCCTACATTACACACACTCTCCCAGAAGCCTTGGGGGCGCTGAAGGATACTTCCATTCCACGATGCTGATGCAGGCCTTCCTCAGAGGGTTCTGGAGGGTCAGACAGAACAAGGCCCGGGGTGGCCTCGGCAGAATCTCAGGAACAGGCTTCTTGGGCTGTTTCTTCTTCAGACCCTCATCCTGGGGTGATGAGGGCTCCATGCTGCCCTAGCAACCCTGCTCTATACCACTTCCCCACCCCACTGCCTGCTCTTCTCTGTGTCCCCAATGCCCCCACCTTGGGGACTGGGGCTGGCTGAGCCTGCCCCACCAAGCCTGCCTTGCTGACTTAGCCGGGGGTGGAGGCGGGTGGATTACTTTCTCTGTTCCCAGCAAGTAAAATTAGCCTCCACTAGGCTCCCTGCTGCCCAGCCAGCGCTCCTGAAGCCAGCCAGCTGTCATTCCTTCCCAGACTAGCCAGTGACATCCCAATCTGTCCCCCGAGGAGGTTGGGGTGGGGGTGGACGTAGAAAGAACTTATATACAGGCCTGGGATGGGACAGTGAGAGACAGAATGGAAGGTTACAGAGTTGGGGCAATAGAGTTCCTAGAAGTAGATAGCCTGAGCTAAGGAGCCTCCAACCTAAGACGGGCTTCCCCTTTCTCAGTAAGTACCACACCATCTGGCCTGGAGAAGGTGCTGGCAGCATCCCCAACCCAGCTCAGTAACTGCAGAAATCAGACCAAGACCCACCCCACCCTTATCCTACCCTTTGTGTACATGATGTCATGAAAACAGTGAACCCCTCCCCTAGAGGATGTCAGATTCCCAGAGCAGCCCTGAATGTGCACAACTCTGGCACTGCTCTACCACTGTGCAGGGCCGCAGTGTCTTTCTCCCCATCTGGCTGTAGCTGTGCAAGGCTGTGTGCTTTATCTCTTGGGACGCTGGCTCCTCTTTTGCATATACTCAATAACAGGAAAGGAGGCCAGGTGTGGCACTGTGATAAGCACTGGACTGCTAATCAAAACGTCAGCTGTTCAAATCCACCAGTGGCTCCTCAGAAGCCCTAGGATTGCTATGAGTTGAAACCGACTCAGTGGCACTTAACAACAACAGGAAAAAACCTGCTGTCCTCCAGTCCATTTTGACTCATGGTGACCCCATGCGTTACAGAGTAGAACTGACAAGAAACCCCGATGGAGCACTTCTACACATGGGGTTGGAATTGATACCATGCCAACAGGTTTCCATCTTTATGGAAGCAAATCACCAAGACTTTCTTCCACAGCACCGCGTGTTGTTGTGAAGTGCTGTCGAGTCTATTCCGACCCGTAGGGACCGTGTATAGGGTTTCTGAGGAGCAGCTGGTGAGCTTGAACCACCGACGTTGCAGTTCAAACTGCTTTTCAGTCTGGCACATTAACCCACAGCGCCTCACCAGGACTCCTAGGTGGAATGAAAATGCCAGCCTTTGGGTTAGCAGCTGATCACAAACTGTGCTTAAACTCCCTGTAAATGTCTGTTGATATGAGCTAACATTTAAAACAAGTGCTCTGGGTGGGAATGGGAAAGGGGCCCCAGAGCGGGCGAGTGGAGACAATGATAGAATCACAAACCTCAGCAATCTTTTTATTCAGTCCGTTGAGGCAAAAACAGTACCAATACACCTATACAGTACCTGCTCCTTGAGAAGCTTAGAGTCTGAGGGTTAAAACACAGGCTTCATTCAACCTGGAAAAAGCTAGATGGCCACTCAGGGTGTGGGGTGCGGTGCGGGGGAAGCCCTCCAACAAGGAAGCTAGAGAGCGCCCCCTGGTGGCACATACACATCGCCGCTCCCAAATTTGTAAATTCTTAGGTTCCTTTCCAGAAATGCAAGAACGTTTTCAATGAGGACGCTAGTATTTAAAGCCATCTAGAGGAGAGTTGGAATCCTGGTGTGGCGCTGTGGGTTAATGTGCCAGACTGCAAAGCCGTTTGAACTGCAAAGTCTGCGGTTCAAGCTCACCAGCTGCTCCTCGGAACCCCTGTACAGGGTCGCTATGGGTCGGAATCGACTCGACGGCACTTAACAGCAACAACAACAAGAGGAGAGTTGGGGCATAGCGCATCCGAACAAAAGTTCGGCTCGGCTTGCCTCCTAGGAACTCGTACAGACAGGACTGAGCCTGGAGTGGTGGAGGATGGAGCAGAGTGCCACCACGACAGGCTGGTGTGCGTATTCAGGGACTGGGCTTCGATACTGCCACACGCAGGGCTGAGGCGACCCAGGGATGGCTCATCCGGGACGCCCTTGTGCAGCGCGCTCGCGGAGCTTTTCCTAGTAGCTCCCCTACTGCACCCGCGAGGCTCCCTGCACCTCTGTCTCAAGCTGGTTGGTGGTTGCGGGGTGTCATTGAACCGGAGCGCGGCTGAACGTCAAGAACCTGGAACCTGCGTGGGGCCGGGAGTGACCCAGCAGCCTCAGGCTACGTCCGGGAGAGAGTTTGGACCTGCAGTGAGTCGAGGGGGGTGCCACAGGGCTGATCAGTGGCTGGATTCCTCCGACTCGAAGAAAGGCGAGGAGGAGAAGCAGGAGGACTCGGATGACTCGCGCACCAAAGAGGGGGGTACTCGGGTCTCGTTGTCGCTGGAGCAGTCCGGCAGGGACCCGGGGGGCGGTCCGCAGGCGGGCCCGGCAGCATCCGGGGGCGCACTCAGCAGCTCCTGCAGGTACTTGATGTAGCGGATGGCAGCGCGCAGTGTCTCCACCTTGCTGAGTCGCTTCTCCGCCAGCGCTCCAGGGAGGTGGCCACGGAGGCGCGCATAGCCCTCGTTAACGCACTTGACACGCTGCCGCTCGCGCTCATTGCGCTTCTGGATGAAGGCAGGTTCGAAGGGGTAGTCGTAGACCCCGAAGGCTCCAGGGAAGGGCACGTAGGGGAACATCCCCGCGTAGGTGTCGTAGTACGGTGTCTCAGCATGGCCCGAGTACAACAGGAAGGGCACGTTGCCCAGGGACTCGGTTTGGGGTAGGGGCGCTTGCCGGGGAGGGGGCATGATACCCAGCTGCATGCAGCTGGGGGGCGCCATGGACCTCCGGTCCACAAGGCCCCGGCAGAAGTTATTGTTCATGGTGTCACGTGGAGCTGGACCCAGAGTGAGACCCTCACCGAATCTCCCGTTTGGGGCCTGCAGGGACGCGGTCCTGACTACAGGGGGTCGAATCACATCCCCAGCAGCGGCGCTCGGGTGGCAAAACTGGCTAGGGTCTCTTTTCGCCCTTTGAGGTGGTTTCCAGGGTTTCTCTAACGCGAGCCATGGTTTCGGAAACGTGTGGCCCTTTGCGGAGGACCTCTCAAATCCAGCACCCGGGGGTCCTGCCCTCCTCCGTGGCATTCAAGGCAGGCCGACAGGCCTGTGCACTCTGCCTCCTGCAGCTCAGCAAGAGCGCCTCCCACCGGAGCTAGCCCCGAGGCTCCACGCTGTCCCACCCCACACCCGGCGCCTTGTTCTTTTGGTCTTCCGGATCCATAGGCTGTTCAGTGTGCCAGCTCGGCAGAAAGGGGTCTCCGGGGAAACAAAGCGTCTAAAAAGAAGTGTGAAAGTACCCGTTAGGAAAAGCAGTGTATTATGAACTCCTTTGTGTCACCCTGATCCGCAAACGGGATTATAAGCATCATGAGAGGACACAGTGTGCCTACTGAAGAGGGTAACAGAGAGAGGAGTTCAAATTCTGTGTTCATTCCTTAAGGTTTGAATAACCTTTCTGAGTCGTGGTTTTTATAAATGAAGATAATTAAAACAACTCTCACTGGAGATTAGTAAAATAAGAGACTGAAATGTTGTTGTTAGGTGCCATTGAGTCAGTGCCAACTCATAGTGACCCTATGCACAACAGAATGAAACACTGCTTGATCCTGGGCCAACTTCACAATCGTTGCTACTTTGAGCCCATTGATGCTGCCACTGTGCTAATCCATGCCATTGGGTGTCTTCCTCTTTTTCTCCAGCACTCCACTTTACCAAACATGATATCTTTCTCAGTGACTGGTCCCTCCTGACAATATGTCTGAAGTATGAGACACGATGTCTGGCCATGCTGGCTTCCAAGAAGTACTCTGGCTGTACTTCTCCCAACACAAGTCTATTTGTTCTTTTGGCAGTCCATGGTATTTTCAACATTCTCTTCCAACATCATAACTCAAATGCATCTATTCTTCTACGGTCTTTCTTATTCACTATGAAACATTTGCACGCATATGAGGTTATTGAAAATACCATGGCTTGCTTCAGGTGCACCTTAGTCCTCAAACTGGCATCTTTGTATTGTTATTGGTAAGTGTCATGCATCAGTTTGGACTCATAGCGACACTGTATAGGGTTTCCAAGACTTTAAAAAAAATCTTTGCAGGAGCAGAAAGCCTCATCTTTCTCTTGACTGGTGGGCTCTAATAGCTGACCTTGTTGTTCGTACTCCAGTGCTTATCCTATGGAACCACTGCACTCCATTTATGTTGTTGTTGTTGTTGTTAAGTGCCATTGAGTTAGTTTCGACTCATAGCGACCCTGTATAGCGTTTCTGAGGAGCAGCTGGTGGGTTTGAACCGCCAACCTGTGGTTTGCAATCCAGTGCTGAAACTATAGCAGCACACCCTATACATACATACGGAGTCCTGGTATAGCACTGTAGAATAAGCACTCGACTTCAAGGTTACTTTGAACTGGAAGGTCGGCAGTTCAAATTCACCAAGTGCTCCTCAGAAACTATACAGGGTGGCTATGAATCAGAATCAACTTGACGACACTTAACGCAATAACATTTCTGGTGTGGTACCATAACCCATTGGACCGCAGACCACAAGGCTGTTGATTAAAATCTACCAGCTGCTCCTTGTAAACCCTATATAGGGTTGTTATGAATTAGAAACGACTCAACAGCACTTAACAATATATATAAAACCTAGTGGACCTGCACAAAAATAGCATTTCCTTTGAGAGCAGATATCAAATTTCCTCATCACGGATGCCTTCCAGGATCTGACAGGGACTCAAAGACTGCATACTGAATTAGCAGTAGAGACCCCAGTGGCAACCCCAAGTCAAGGAAGGGTCTCGCTATAGAAGGAAATGCATAGTTGGTTCCAAGACACTTGGGTGACGTTGGTATTTTAAAAACCCCTCTGCATAGCAAACAGACAATCCCCAAAGCCTTCCCCAGCCCAGTCCACACGGGTCCTGGTGATATCCTCTCACAGACACTTAACAGAGCATCCATTCTTTCACCACTTTGTGCTCAGAGCCCAGCTCAGCCACTGCTGGTCAAAAGGTCAGCAGGAGTTTGAACACACCAGTCACTTGCTTGCTCAGTGGGAGAAAGATGTGATAATCTGCATCTGTCAAGATTGGTGGTATTGGTGGTGGTGTGCTGCGGAGTCGGTTCTAACTCATAGTGACCCAGCATAGGGTTTCTGAGGCTGTAATCTCTATGGGAGTAGAAAGCCTCATCTTTCTCAACAGCTGGTCGTTTCGAACTGCTGACCCTGAGGTTAGCAGCCCGATTTGTCACCACTATGCTACTAGTCTTGGAAACGCTATGGGGCAGTTCTGCTGTCTTATCACATGAGCTGGACTCCATAGCAATGCATCTGTGGGACTGGGAATCAGGTAAAAAAAACACACACACAAAAAACAGTCACCATCAAGTGGATTCCAAGTCACAGTGACTCCATGTGTGTCAGAGTGGAACTGTGCTCCACAGGATTTTTAATGACTGTGGGTTTTCAAAAATAGATCGCCAGGCCTTTCTTCTGAGGGGCCTCTGTGTGGACTTGAACCACCAAACTTGCAGTTAGTAGCCAAGCATTTAGCTGTTCAAGCCACCCAGGAACTTCCGGCATGCTCCCTAAGTACTTGTTGACTAACACAGAAAGGATTAGACAGAAAGTTGGGCTTAAGAGTAAATTACACAAAACCCTTCCCAGGCTTTAGGAAGCTGTTATTTCAGAAAAAACTGATTTTTTATTGAGTTTAAATACCAACAACTCTCCTCACATGCTGTTATCAGATTGAATTTGGGTGTCATTTCCTCTAGGAAGCCTCTCTGATTCCATTTGCCCCTTCTTGTGTGTGCGTACATACCAAGCCTGGTGCCATAGAGTTAATTCAGACTTACGGTGACCCTGTAGGACAGAGGAGACCTGCCCACACAGCTTCCAAGGCTCTGTGGTGCTGCAGGATAATGCACTGGATTGCAAAGTCAGTTTGACCTGAAAGATTGGTGGTTAAAACCCACCAGCCACTCCTCAGAAACCCCATACAGGGTTGCTATGGGTCAGAACCGACTCAACAGCACTTAACATAACACACAATATTTACGGAAGTAAACTGTCACATCTTTCTCCCGTGGAGCAGCTAGTGGGCTCAAACCACCGCTGGTCAGATCACCACATCAGCTGCTGCTGCTGCTGTTACATGTCATCGAGTTGGTTTCAACTCAGACTGACCCTATTTTATATATGTCTCCCCATTGCCTTCTTGCCTGCATGGTTTCTGTTGAGACATCTGAGCTTAATCTGATTTGCTTGCCTTTGTATGTTATATTTCTCTTTTCCCTAGCTTCTTTCAAGATCCTGTCCTTATCTTTGATTTTGGAGAGCTT